AGAGAGAGAGAGAGAGAGAGAGAGAGAGAGAGAGAGAGAGAGAGAGAGGACCCTTGTATTTAAAAGCAGCTGGGCCGAGGGCCTAGTGTTATTTTATTTTAGAGGAACATTCTTTTAAGTTGGTCAACACTCTTCTGTCAGTTTGCTGTACTGAGTTAATCTGGGTTTGCTAAGATGCTGAACCTTGTGTCATTGGGGTATCAAATGCCATAATGGCTGTCTTTGGTGGACAGTGTTTGGTGGAGATCTCAGTTTAAGACAGGTTTGGAAGCAGGAGTGGCATCCACTTCCTAAACCACATGCCTCTGGAAACTCTATGAACTTGGAGAAACAATGATAGTTATAGCAAGGCTTTAGGCCTTTGTTCATGAGTCACACTTGACAGCAATCAACAACAACATAATATTTAGCAAAATATTGTTGTTGTGTACTGTTGACTTAGAACTGACCCGTATGTAGCCTTCCAGTGGGTTTCCAGAAACAGTTAATCATACAAGAGAAGATTAAAAATACAAAATCTATACTCAAAAGAATTGGACATAGACTATCTTTATACTTTACAAAAAAACCTTCAAAACAGAAACTAAGAAAGCACTATTTATAGCAGGTTGGCTGAAAGGTCTGCTCTGCCATTATTTTGTGACCATCTGGTAATAAACTAAAGAGCACATAAACTTCCAGATATGTAGATTTAGTCTCATTTATGAGTTATCCACGATCCTGGTGAGGGTCTTGCTTTTGTATATCTCATCTTTAATTCTCTTGATGGCGTGATAGAACATTTTTATTTTGTAGCTTCTAGCACCACCTCTAGTGATACAAACATATTTTTTGTTTTTCCTACATTGTCCCGTAGAGCAGTGATATTTACTTGGTGAATTTTTATGCCTTCCAAGTCAGTGTTGTCTTCATACCTAAATAAGTGTTTTTGTTTTTACATTAAACAGATTTTATGATGTTGCTCTACAATTATTTTTCTAGACAGGAACACTGCTTTCTAATTCTTTTTCTAGATATGTGTGGTTGCTATGATGCTAAACACTGTGACACTGATGTGACAAATGTAATAATGATAATCCATGGTGGACAGTGTTTGGTGAAGCTCCCTGATTAAAACAAGCTTGGAAGCAGGAGTGACATTCACTTTCAAAATAGCTTGTCTCTGGAAACTCTATGAACTTGGAGAAATGATGAAAGTTATACAAGTGTTCTGGTGTTTCGTTCATAGGGTCTCTATGATTCGTCTATGACTCGACGGCACTTAACAACAGCATGTCTTTATGACACAAAATAGATACAGTTACTTTTATATACTATGAGTTCTCCATCAGATTAATAATATATGACCTAATGCTTATTTTATAAGTAAATAGAGAGGATAAAGTATATAATTTAGAACACTTCAGGATGAGGAACACTCATTAGCAAATTGAGACATACAGTGACACAACTTTGCATTCTGAAAGAACTTGACACACACTTAATAAAAGGATCAAACATTACATATAGTTTTAGTTTCTTTATGCTACTTTATAAAGTTGATAATTTAATGATAATTCTAATACAATTTCATCAGTACAGAAAAGAATATAATTGCTTGCATCAAATGAACATTGGCTGAAAGATGATTACACCAGAAAGCCCTTTACCTGTGTTTTATTTACTAAGCAAAGACATTTGGATGTATTGGATATCCATATATGGAAACAAGTAAAATTTCATTCTTCCCTTACATCATAGTAAAAGAAAAAGAAAAATCAATTCCATATTGATTCCAGATCTAAATGCAAAATGAAGACACCATGGAAAGATACCTTCCTGATATTGAGGGACCAAATGTATTTTAAATAATACAAACACATCAATTATATGTTGTTGATAAAATAAACTGTATAACAATTAAGAAGATTTGTTATAAAATTATATATAAAATTACTTTTGATATAAAAGAGATTGTTAACCCAGAAAGATGTTAAGTCAGTAGGAGGGAGAAGATATGTGTAATACATATGTGTTGCAAGAACTCAATAAAAAGCTCCTTCTAACCTGCAGAAAAAGAGATATAATACTAGAAAAGGACTTGAAATTTGTTTAAGTAGTTCATGAAAGAGAATATCTAAGTGGTAAAAAATCAAAAAGATGTGCTAAACTTTATTAACTGCGAAGTGAAACAACCAAAACAAACAAACAAACAAGTAAACAGAAAACCAAAACAGATTATGAATGACATTGCAAATAATGAAAATTCCAGAACACTTTATTCTACTCATGTGGAACTTGATTGAGCAGTTGTAAAGAGGATGGAAAATGAAAAAATGAATAATAAAATTTTGCTGTCAGAGACCTCTCCAAAGTACTGAAGAGCAACGATGTCAGTCTGTAAAGTAAAGAGCACCTAATACAGGCCATGGTCTTTGCAATTGCTTGTTATACATCAGAAAGCTGGACAATGACTAGGGATAACAGAAGGAGAATTGAAGTCGTTGATCTGTAGTGCTGGAGAAGAGTGTTGAATATACCATGGACTGCCATGAGAACAACTAGGTTCATCTAGAGTGGGTAAAGCCAGGCTGCTCCTTGGAGGCAAGGATTCTGAAACTTTGACACACATAGGTATGTTGCAAGGAGGGACCAGTCCTTGGAGAGGGACATCATGGTTGGGAGGGTGAAGGGACAGCACAGGAGAAGAAGACACTCAATGATGTGGATTGATTCAGTGAATGGGGTAATGGGGATGGGTGTGTCAGAGACAATAAGATTGGCATGGGATAGAGCAGGGTTTAGGGCTATTGTACTTAGGGTTGCTATGAATCGCAGGCCACTCAACAGCACATGCTAATAACAACAAGGATATCTTGTTTCAAAATATAGTGTGTGTGTGTGTGTGTGTGTGTGTGTGTGTCCCAAAGGCACACAGTTTGAGGCCAGCAGCTGCTCCATGGGAGAAGGATGGGTAATCTCCTCCTGTGTGATTAATTGCCTCTGAAAATCTGCTAGAGGGTCAGCTATGGGTTGGTTCAAACTCAACAGAAGACAACAATAATAACATACTGATAAATGCATTATCACTCTGATAATTTAGTTGGTATGGTGAGCAAATAATCTGATATTCTGGAATACATGAGGAAGAATTTAGTATCAAGACTAGAGGAAAATCCACTAAAAATCTGTAATATGCTCATGTCATAACCTTTTCTGCTCAAATTGAAGAAGGCTTGAAGTTCTTACAGGTAAAGATCAAATAAAATGTTCTTCAGTGTGTATTAAACGTCAACATAAACAATAAACAATACTCCTCACCAGTGGGCCAAGAAAAGATGTAATGATTAACAGCAAAAGTACTGAATTTGAGCAGAAATTCCTTAACTCATGGTCAACATTCATAAAAACAGAAGACAAGAAATAAAATTAAGCATTGTATTAGTTAAATCTGTTGTAAAGGGTCTGTTTAAAGTATTAAGCAGAAATTTGTCACTTGGCGATCTAGAGTGCACCTGACTTAAGTTAAGCATTATTAA